GTTTATGAAAATTAATAAAATATAATTATAGGAAAAAAAAAGGGAAAAAGCCTGATATTGTGTAAGTTTGACCTTCCCACTTTTAAACAAAGACATTAAACACTTAAGGATCTTTCAAAAAAAAAACCAAAAAACACAAAGACGGTGGTGACAGCTATGAGTGTGGGACTTGGCAAAAATCCAATCTCTCCCATCATACCCCTGAAAGAGTTTCTTTCCTATGCCATTCTAGGATGGGGTTGGTTTTTTTTAATTACCGACTTCAATTTATTAAAGAAAAATAAATTGATTCAGGATAATTGTTATTGTTAGTATTCTAGGGCTTTAACTTAATTCTTCAAAATTCCCCCCCCCCCAATCTGGCCATCATTTCAGCACAGCCACATTTTACAAATTTAGGTCTCTTCTAATTTTCCTCCATTAGCCATGACTGAACTGAATTAAACATGCACATATAAAGATTTAGATTTTTAAAAAATCATAATTTTATTCTTATCTAATTAGGAGAACTATATTAACTATAGAATTTTAGCCCAATCTCAAGATATTTGTTTTATAAAATCAAATAGATGAAACCTGCTTATATCTTTTTTTCCTTTTGGAAGTCAGACTCAATTCCTAAGAGAGTTTTTTTCAATCTTCTTGCCAATTCCACTCTTCTCCACCAAACACAGCCTTAGGATCAGATTTTTGTGAATGAACTCACAGTGTGCCATAAAAACCTTGCTATGAGCATCAAGTTCAACCATCATGTCTGTCTTTTCCATTACCATCTCAGTGGTTAGGGGTGATTACATATTAATCAAATTCTTGGCTATCTGAATTGTCTTTAATCCTAGTAAGAGAAATCTTACTCTGCTGGCCTAATGGGTAATGAGTTGTACTGAAAACCAAAAAGACAATCTGACTCACCGGTGGCTCTGAGGGAGCTCACTGGAGGCTCAGTTGATGATAACGATAACCCAAGAGCATAAATTACACAACTGGAAGTAGTCTAACTTTCTTGTCTAACCTGCATTTGTTCCAGTTCTGACTTTTTAGTAATTTCACATTTTTCTATTTTATCAGATGTACTATAAAGTAGTCTCAGAAACTTTATAGAATAAGAGAAACTATTAGTAGAGCTGACATGTATTTAAAATACTTCCATTTTAAAAAGCTGGCACCAAGAACATTAAATGAACCAAGAAAAACAACAGACAACAGAATAGTTTAAAAGGTACTATAAAAATCCAGAAATGGAATTAAAATGTGTTGTGTACCACTGGGTTGATTTCAAACCACAGAAACCCAAAGGAAAGAATAAAATGTTCCCTGTGGATTTCTTAGGCTATAATCTTTAGCAGCAAAGAGCCCTGGTGACACAGTGGTCAAAGCATTTGGGTGCTAATCAAAAAAGTCTACAGTTTGAACCCAACTGTAGGAAAAAGACAAGGCAGTCAGTTTACATGAAGCTCTACAGTCTTGGAAACCCCATCATGTCCTGTGAGTCGCTATGAGTCAAAAATGACTTGATGTCATGAGTTTTAATCTTTAAAGGAACAGACTGCTGTGTCTTTTTTTCCTGCCGAGTGCCTGGTATGCTCGAACCTCTGAAGCAATGAGCTCTACATCATCACACCACCAGGGCTCCCTAGAAAGAGATTTCATTCACAAAAGATTGCCAATGTTTTCCTAAATAAACATGTGATATATTTTTAATGTAATGATTAATATTACCACTAGTAGTAATACATTAAAAAGCTAAGTAATACTTTTGCAATTAACACAACATCCCTGTAGGTATAAAAAATGTGAAAACAAAATTTCTACCTTTTGTGTTTCAGGATCTATTAACCAGTTCCAGGCACCAGTAGCTGTACAGACAGATACCACTATAAGCAGCACTGATGAGAGAAAAATATGAAATTAGTAATCATAACCCATGAATATTTGAAATTATACCATCAACTTTATTACATCACAACTAATGGACGTAGCACTTTAATAAACAGAAAAAGCAATGAACTTAAGAATTGGGAGACTTCCCATGTAACTTCGAGGAATTCTCTTAAACATTATGAATTTACATAAGTAAGTTGCTACTTCCTTGTTTCTCAAAATTTACGAAGATTATGGAAAAGCAAATCAACAAGACATGGCATAAAGTCAATAAGAGTCTATGTTATATAACTTTCAAAGTGTTTTGCACAGATTTTGCAAATCTGATTAATCTAAATTTAAAAAAGTAATAATTTTTAAAAACCATGGACCAACCCTTTTGTAAAGGACACAAAAACTCCTTTTTTTAATGCACTGAGATTTCCAATTCAAGGAATGGTCTGTAAAACTCATGCTATTAAATTGACCAAGGTCATTTCACACTTCAAATGATGTGTGGAATCAGGAGAATACATAAATTAATAAGAAGGTGGTGCAATGCTTAACCTATAAGGTTGCTTAATCAAAGAGTGGGTGGTTCAAACCTGCCAGCCAATCCATGGGGAAAAAACTGCCTCTTGTTTTCAAGAGGTACAGCCCTGGAAATCCAAGGGATGGCTGCTGAGGCAAGATTAATGCCACGGGACTGGGTTTGGTTTTTTAGTTCACACTAATTCAAAAGTGAAAGTCAGCACCATCAAATCAGAACTGACTCACAGCTGACTTGCCAGACAGTTTTTGGAGGCTATAAATTGTATGGGAAGAGATTCCCCATCTTTATTCCTCAGAGAGAATGGTGAAGACCCTCCACAGAGGTCTGGTCTTTCTGTTAGCAGCTCAGCTCTCTATGGGAAAATGCCACCAGACTACACTCTTCACACTAATTAGTATCAGATTTCCTTCAATGCCCTTAAATGACTATTTAGAGATTAAATTACTTGTGTCTTTCTCAATGCTGACCCTCTAGAGAGCTTTCAGAGGCTGTAAATCACACAGGAGATTGCCCATCTTTCTCTCTAAAAGCAGTTGGTAGATATAAACTTGTCTGCCTTTGGGGGAGCAGTACAACTTCCTACTCATTAGGCCACCAGAACACTTCAACTCATTGTGGCAAAGTTGGAACAGGCTTAAAGCAGATCCTCCAGCAGGTCTGCAGAGGCTGTAAACTGCTTGGGAGGAGACTGCCCATCTTTTCCCCATACAGTAACTGGTGGGTCCTGCCTTTGGCATAACGCCTTACCCTCTAGGCACCAGAACTCCTTAAGTTATTAGAATTGCAAACCATTTCTCTCCATGAAGCTAGAATTAGTTTCTAAATTCTAAACAGATCATAAATAACACTTCAGAACATACTAAGTGCAGGGAGCTCTGGTGGCCTTGCGGCAAGAAGCTGCACTATAATCCCAAAGGTGTACGATTCGAATCCACCAGATGCTCTCATGGAGAAGGAAGAGCAATCTCCTCTTGTGCCTGTTGGAACCGAAGGGATGGTACACAACCGGGGGCGGGCGGGCGGGGAGGGGATCTACCAAGAGGAATCTCTACCATCAAGAAAGCAGCAGAGTGTCCTTTTGCGCCAGAGATTCCTGGGAAAGGTGGATCAAAAGCAGCAGCAGCATAAACAGTGGAGAACCAGGTACCAATCTGAGACAGGGCTGAGCCAGAATTGCCACCCCAAAGGCCTTCGCCCAGGCTTACTGGAGGTTTGGAGGGAAGACACCACATGATGTTGTCTGGTAGTTTCAGGTCCACTACAACGTACAAAATTCCTATGAACCACTGATCAAACTTGTGCTATCCTGGGCCATCTTCACAATCCAATGAGCGTTGGGACGCTGGCCCAAATCCATGAGGTTGAAGGGCTGCAACCCACTAGAGAAGCTCTCTGAATTGAGGACCTAGATCAGGTTGAATTGCCAGGCTGAATTGTAACCTGTTAACATCCCTAATAAAACCCCTAATCGTGAGTATAGTTCAGTGAGATCTGTGTGGTCACTGCAATTTGGATCAGGAAAATTGGTGCTAGAAGTAGTAGATGTAGGTGTGAGAGCGTGGAGACTATGTCTGACCTTCTGGGAACTGGTCTGGTACTGTGGATACTGCTGATGGAGACGTCCCCCTTTGTGGAGTTAGTACAGGTCAGATACAGCCATCCCCAACCCTCCCTCCCTCTTCTTACAGTGGTCATGGCAGCAGAGGGTCCAGAAGAGCAGCAACAGCCATCCATGGAAGCTTGGAATTTTGGAAGAGTATGAAGCTAGGAGTAGGGGACTATAGCTAAGATGATCGTGTTTTTTGCTACAATGAAGGGGAGAAAAAAACGCTTCTGATAATCTATTCTTTTTTTTTTTTTAATTATTTTTTCTCTTGCTCTTTCTTTGTTGTGTACTGTGAATAGGATCCGACTGGCACAGGAGGAGACTGCCCCTCCTTCTCCAGAGGAGCATCTGGTGGATTTCAACAACGTGCCTTCAGGATAGGAAAAAATGCTTCTGGAGTGACCAGAAGAGAAGTGACCTTGGAGAAAGTCACGGTCACATACATGAGTGGGATATGTTAAAAGTAGAGAAGATGACATTGAGATGTTTTTGAAAAGGGCTATGTTTTTAAGTTTATGTGTTTAGCTCAATGTTCTTGTCAGATAGTCTTTCTTCAACGTTGTTCCTAGGTGCCATCAATTGGACTACAACACCCAACTCCATGAACAGAGAGCAAAACCTTGCCGTGTCCTGAACCATCCTCACAATCTCCACCTAAGGCACTGTGTCAAGTCATCTCATTGAAGGTCTTCTCTTTTACTGACCTTTCCCAGATGTTTCCATTTCCCAACGATTGGCCACACCTGACAATGTGCCCAAAATATGTGAGGCAGTTTCACCGTCCTTGCCTCTAAGGAGTACTCTGCATGTCTTCCAAGTCAGTTTTGTTTGATCTTTTGGCAATCTATGGTATATCCACTACTCTTTGCCAACACCACAATTCAAAGGCATCAAATTATGTTCTACATATTGCTGTGTACCACTGAGTTGGAGCCAACTCATAGCTGACCCTCCAGCAGGTTTTTAAAGGCAATAAATCATAAGGCAGGAGACGGTTCATCTTTCTCCTGTGGAGCAGCTGGTGGATTTGAACGGAGTACCTTTGGGCTGGCAGTGTCTTACCCAACAAGTCCGAAAGAAATGAGAACTGGGTATTGCAGATTACACAAAGCATGTCCAACTTTGGCCAGCACTTGACTGAATGTGCTAAAAGAGAAAACTTGCTCTGGAGAAATGCAAGCTTGTTAGAAGATGTAGACTTTCATTGCAGAGGGCTTGAGGATTTTGGATGGCAAAACATGAGCCTCTGAGTTTGGAAATTTGCATGGAAATGGAAATGTAGGCTGACCTAGTACTGCAAAGTGGAGAAGAAACATGCATTTAAGGAAAAACCAATTCTTGGGGTACGGGATGAGAAAACAGTCTGATGTTGAGTGGGTGCACTGATGCAGGAAAAGCCAGTACCCATCATGAACTTCCCTCCCATGATGGGAAGTTAAAGGGAAGAGGGCAGATGGCAGCCTGGTATGCTCACTCATGGTGACCACTTGATGATCGGAAGCGGGAGAGGACAGGAGTGCAGAGACAGGCTAGGCTGGATGCCTTTAACAGCACCTGCTGACTGAGCACACATAGGTGCTAAGATTTAGAGAAGAGTTGCTAGTCTGGTGAGCAGGGAGTCAGGAGGGATCTTTTAATCAGTTCACATGAGGGTCTAAGACCTGAGGATGAAAGGACCAGTCTGAAACAAAGGAAGATATGTGGATTCGAGTTGTCCAGCTGGTGACTGTTGGACTTAGCCTTGGATAGTGAGGCATGAGGTAACCAGAACTGTAGGAGATAAGAGATGTTGGATGCTATGAGGTAGTGGAGATTGCTGCAACTTAACTGCTTGCTCTGCAATTTAATTGGACTTTGCTTATGGACACAGATGCACAAAGTTCCATTCCTAAAGAAAGAATATTCTTGCCATGTTTCAGAGAAAGGAACATGCTTGTCTCCTCAGGGCACTGGTTTGACAGCCATGGTAAATTTGTTACTGGTTAAATAAAAGGGAAGGTAGCAGGGAGGAGGAGTTAAAGGTATGAAGCATGAAGTAACTGGCTTACATTCTTTCATGAGAAGTTGCTCACAAGATGATCCTGAGGGCAAAGCAAAGTCAAGTTTGTAGGCCAGAAAAAAAAAGCCAGAGGTCAGAGGTCGTCTGTGATGCAGCAGATTGTTCAAAACGGCGTTTTTAGCCATTGACTTTGACTTTTGCCATGCGGTTGTGTAGAACTACAGCTATATGAATGAGGTACTCACACTTTTGGGATAGGAATGTGCAAACAAGATGTGGCAGACACTACTAACAAGGGGACTGACTGCTTTTGCCATTGTGCTAGCCTTAAACTGAGCCAAGTCAGAAGCAGAAAACAGGAAAAGAGAAAGCAGAAGAGAGTGCAGTGCCAGTGATTCCTGCACAAGATTTCTGCAAAACCAAGAGCAGCAGAGCTGAACTGGAAACGCTATCTCACAGAGACTCAATGGAGGGCTGGGGAGAGAGAATAAATGGCATGGCTGAAAGCGCTCTGTGACTCTGGCCCAAAGCTTCAAGGCAGAAAGTCAGATGGATCCTAAGCCCTTCTGAGATGCTGTGGTGACTGAGTAATTGGATCCTGATTATTTCTAGCCCAAACTGTCATCTGCTATCTTCTGGATAAATCCCACAATTGTGGGGGTTAAATATACAGCATTACTAAACAATTAGAAAAAACCAAAACTCATTTTAGTCACTTCTGACTTACAGCCACTTGGGCTTGGGAAGCTATAAATCACAACGGGAGGAGACTAGTCATCCTTCTGTTAAGGAGCCACTGGTGATTCCAACTGCTGGAGACTAGCAGCCTCTGGTCAGCAACACAACTCCCTACAGACCACACCACCAGAGCTCCTGGATTAGAACTCTATGCACTTATTTTAACTCACCTACAAACTCAACGTTTCCCCTATGCTTTAGTATTTTCCAGTGGTGATCTGAGTAAAGATTTACAAAGCAAACAAATTCATTCATGTACATTTTGCTCAGTAACATTAACGCCAACACCCACAATGTATTTGTTCTTTACCCACTTCCTCTCAGTAACTCTGATTTCCAGTTATCCTTCTGTACTTCTTTGTCTTCCCTTCCTTTAGTGATACAGTGCTGATCCCCTCTTTATAGGAAGGATACTGCTGCTCCCTTCACCTATCCTAACATGTGCCTTATCTACTAATTTTTAATTCCCATCTCCTCCCTCCCCACCTCTGGTACCTATCCAAGAATGATTCTGAGTGTAAACCATTCCTCAGCTTTTTATCACAATCATGTTATACACTATTTGTCCTTCTGTGATAGATTTCTTTCTTACTGTAATGCCTTCAAGATGCATCCACATACTGTTTTGTGCAAATTCAACTTAGGGATTGAGCTTGTTTGTAACCCCGGGGGACATCTAAATGAACATCTAAGAAATTAAGATTGGTTCCAACACAAGTTACTTAGGAAAATTTTGTCTGCTAATGTCATCACTTGCATTTCTTATCTATTTCCATGGAGCATTAATTAATTCTTCTAAATCATATTTTACACCACAATGCATAGAGAAGTGCTAAGTTATTTATGACACACAAAACAATATCAATTTTCCCCCCAGATGTCAGTTTCCAAAACAGTACAATTAGGACTGTAAAAGTCACCGAAAGGTTGTTGTTGTTGTTATGTGCCGTCGAGTCGTTTGCGACTCATAGCGACCCTATGTACAACAGCCCTAAACCCTGCTCTGTCCTGTGCCAATCTCACTGCCTCTGACACACCCATCCCGATTACCCCAGTCACTGAATCAATCCACCTCATAGAGGGTCTTCCCCTCCTGCACTGTCCCTCCACTCTGCCCAGCATGACGTCCCTCTCTAAAGGCCTGTCTCTCCTTACAACATGTCCAAAGTATGTCAGGCAAAGCCCCAGAATCCTTGTCTCCAAGGAGCAGCCTACCGAAAGGTAGGTTTCTTATTTTCTTATTGTGCTCACTAAGTTGATAATTAGAGTGACCCTCTTATTTCTATCTGACTGAAAATCTTTTTTTAATAAAATTTTATTTTGTAATTTTAAAGAATATTTACAGAGAAGTTACATTTTCATTCATTCACTGTTACACATTTTACCTCCTCACCCTCCCTTCCCTAGTTCACTTTTTTTTTATTCATTCATTGTTACACCAAGACTAAATCATCGGTTTTTTTTAGCTGTTTACCATGTAACTGGCTTGTCTCACTGAGGAGAGAAAACCAGAATAGGTCAGGCTTCTTTGCTATATATAGCAAGCGCCAATTGTGACAGACTGTTGTGAAGAATGTAAATCTTAACGAGAATCTTCTTCAGGCAGAGCCACCACTTGTTTCCCAACACCATTCTTCCTTCCTGGTTAGCAATGCAACACACTGTAGACTGCCAGTGGAACTCCAGCTTCCTCCTGCGAGTGTATGCATACTTTAATTTTTCTCGCTTCAGGTTTCATTTCAATGACACGTAGTCAAAATGCCAAGAAGGTTACTGGAAGTTTTTCTATGATGTTTGTCCTTATCAAAACTGTAATATTTATTCAGCTATTTTTATAATAATGTATTTTATGCAAGATAGAGAATTCTTTCAAGGTAACCAACTGTGAATTTTCTTTTTTAAAAAATGTTATTATTTTGTGTGTGTGTACCGTCAAATCGGATCTGACTGGTACGGAAGGAGATTGCCTTTCCTTTTCCAGCAGAGCATCTGGTGGCTTTGATCCAGGTACTTCTGGGATTGCAGTGCAGCTTCTTGCCACTAGACCACCAGAGCTCCCCAACTGTGAATTTTCTTAGCAATTTATTTATGAGTACTAAGTTTAAAAAGAAATTTTTCAGAACAAAAGGAAATTTTAGGGCTTAGAACCTCTTCAATGCAAGGATTTGCTAACCATAAATTTCACATAAAAGCAAATCATTCCGAAGCTGGAATAAAAATGTCACCTGTCAATTTCTTTTAGCTTAAAATATATTCATTCAGGGAACTTACTTCTCCAACGTCCTGTGGCAGGTTGCAAACAATGAATATATTCAGTAAGTCTTCTCTCAAAAGCCTTGAGATCTAGGTAAAAAGATGACAATTTTCTAATTAGCCACTCTCGCTAGCTTGAGTCTAGTAGGATGCAATTTCTTTCTGTAATTTTTATACACCAGTTTAAATACATCACTGCTTTGCTGTTCATTAAACACCACGCTTCCGTCTTCACATACAAAGAAACGGGCTGATTCATTTTCGAAAGATTCTTCAAAGGCTATGTAGAAATTACCAGCAGCCCACATGTCAAAAGCTAGCTGTAGGGAGGGCTGCATACAGAAGTAAACGTTTTCATTCTGTTGGCGCCAATAACATTCTTTAGAGAGAGCAAAGTATTAATTACCTAACACGGATGTCCCTGGGGTCTATTTGACTACAATTATCCCTTTCCACTTTCACGCTCTTATGCTTCATTCATTTTTCCTCTTGCTCGTCCCACTGGCCTTGCTGACACTAACGTCCCTCTGGAAGGAGGTGGACAGACACTCCTTTCGCTTTCCCACGGCTAACAGGTGACCTTCGCGTCAACATCTCAGTGCAAAGCAGAGGAGTGTTCTAACGCGACAGAGGAAACCAAGTCCAAGGTGCTCGCTCGGAAGGGGCCAGGTGGTGTTATCATTTCCCCAGGCACACGTCTTTAAACTTTACAAGACTATAAAAATGACTCGATCTCTGCAAGATTCCAGCAACCGTATGAGGTATTAGGAAGACCACTCGTGGGGCCAGCAGAATGAAAAGAAGGCAAAGTAAGGCAAGATTTGTGCAAAGCAGGGTGTGCAATTGTCTGGGCAGCGGGGCTGGTGACCAGCGAGGAGTGCCACGGCCCAAGGGGGTGGGGGCGCGGGCACCGATGCGCAGCGCCAGCCTCTCCGGAGGGAGCGCGCGCTCGAACCCGCGCCCGCCGTGGGGTCAGCCGTCCGCCGCCGTGCGGCCCCACCCGGCTCCCCCACGCCCCTGCTCTGACGCTCCACCGTCCGCGGCCTCCGCTCCCCGCGGCGGGGTCTCCACCGCCCAGGCCCCCCTCTGCGGACCTGCCTTTTCTCGTAAGGAGCCTCAGGGTGAGTCCGGGCGGCGGTTCACCCTACCTTCTGCCTGCTCCAGGGAGTTCATGTCGTGCGGCAGCTCCGGTCACGGCCGCGGCCCAATCCACATCGCACCCCGAACGCCCCTTCCAGGCCCGCGGCGCTAACTCCCACCCCCAACTGCTCCGCTCAGCTCCGCCTCGGAGCCCCGCCCCTCACCTACATCGACCACTCTCATTGGGCGCCTCTGCCAAACTCTTCAACTAAGACACTTTTCTATTGGCTAACTTCGTCCCTGGCCTTAGGGCCTAGCGTCAGACGGTCAGCCAGAGAGACCAAGCAATTCCGGCTGTCGTGGAGCTGGCGCCACCTACACACCGAGGGAGAAACTGCAGCCTCCCTGGGCTCAATTCAGGCTTTTATTTATCCAGTATTTTATTGCGTTCTCAGTTCCTGATTGTATTCTGGAAGCTCAGGAGGTATGCAAAAGGTATTTGAAATCATCCTGCATGAAAGCAACTTAAGGTCTAATGCGGGAAATGAGATATATATGCAGGCTATATGTTTACTAGAACCCAAAGTAAAGGATTTTCTTTTAAACGGCCATCTCTTTCCTAGAGACCAAACCAACAGAGGCAATCCTGGATGTACTTACCAGTTTATGCTAGCAAATCCAGAGGACAGCTAATCTGGCCTACTGATTGGAAGAGATCCGTATTTGTTCCCACTCCTAAGAAAGATAATCCAACAGAATCTGGAAATTATCCAACAATATTATTACTATCTCATGCAAGCAAAATATGCAAGCAAAAAATGGCTAGAACAGTACATTCACAGGGAACTAACAGAAGTCAAGATGGTTTTAGAAGAAGCTACGACACCAGGGATATATTTCGTTGCTGATGTCAAATGGATACTGGCTGATAGCAGAGAATAACAGGGCATCTATTTGTATTTTATTGACTATGCGAAGGTATTTAACTATGTGGATCATAACTCTTAGGTTAGGTTAGGTAGTGGACTTAAAGAAGAAATCAGAGAGAATGGGAGAAAGCTTAATGCAGCTTTATTAAAGTGGGGGAAGGGGAGCTCCTGGGTGAGTTTCTCATCCTGGAGAGGCAGAATGGGAAGTCACACTGTGAACTTACCGGGAAGGATTTTTATAAACAGAGTCTTTAGGGAGGGACATTCCACTCTGATTTAGGAGCCACCTGCTAGCTCAGCCAGACATGCAAGGCCACTTGCTCTTCTTATCAGCAACCGGAAAGGCCGTCAGCATTTGAGTTCTGAATTCTTCATTCTTCTCTTTGGCCCTCTTTGCCCAGACTAACAATAACAAATAATGGCTAACATTGAGAAGAATGGGAATCCCAGAACACTTAATTGGACTCCATGAAGAACAATACAACATCAGGAATGGAGAAAAACTCAACAGTATGAGTTATGCAGATCACATAACTTTGCTGGCTGAAAGTGAAGACCATATGGAATGCTTGCTGCAGAATATCAAGGACTACAGCCTTCGGTATGGATTACATCTTAACATCAAGAAAACAAAGATCTTCACTGCAGGATCAACAGTCAAAATTATGATGGATGGAGAAAGGACTGAAGCTATCAATTATTTCATTTTACTTCGATCAAGAGCCAATACATTTAGTACCAATAGTCAGGAAATCAGGAGACAAATTGCATTGGGCAAGTTGGATGTCAGCATCCTCTCCAAAATGCTAAAGAGCAATGATGTAAATTTGAAGACTAAGGTGTACCTTATTCAGGGCATGGTCTTCTCAATCACCTGCAACACATCAGAGAACAAAACAATGAATAAAGATGACAGAAGAACAATTGATGCCTTTGAGGTGTAGTGTTGGAAGAAAGTACTGAATATCCATGGACTGCCCAAAGAACAGTGATATCTTGGGAAAAGTACAGTCAGAGTGCTCTGTGGGAACAAAGATGATGAAACTTTGTCTTTTATACTTTGGACGTGTAGCTAGGTGAGGGTATTCCTTGGAAATTCCCTTTCCAAGAAAATTCCCTTTCCTTGGAAATTCATGATTGGAAAGATAGTGGGTCCTTGAAATAGAGGAAGGCCCTCAGGTAGATAGATTAAGATAGTGACTGTGGAAACCAGCTCAAACCTGTTGGAAATAATAAGGAAGGTCAGAATAAGACAGATCTATTGTTCACAGGGTCACTATGAAACTCGAGAGCACCTAACACCAGTGATCAGGACCGGGACTGCCAACTCAAAGCCCCAAGGTTTCCATCTATTATCTGCTCTGCAGGAGAAGGACAGGCAATCTGCAACCGTGCGATTTGCAGCCTCTGAACACCTGATGGAGGATCAGCTACATGATGCCATGTACCAGCCACACAAGCTACTTCTGGGATTTTTTTGTTGTTGAGTTCTATTTTTTTAAAATTTTTGTAAAAGTTTACCAAAAATTTGGGTTTTTTTTTTTAAATTAAAAAGATTGGTTTTAATGCACTCATTCATGCACATTTTTCCTCCCTCCCCCTTCTCCCTTTAACACAAGTTACTTTTTATTTTTTGTTGTTGTTGTTACTTCTAAAGCATCCAGAATGCTGGTTCAAGTAACCTACAGAGCTCGCGTGCACTGTCCAGGCCCCTTTCTTACAAAAGGAAATACTGACCCCCAGTGGCATGCTTGTGCATATACAATGGGAATTGATCCTAGTCGGCAACCAAAAGCCAGAAAGAGCTAGGCCCTTGAAGGGGGTTCACAGCACTCAAAACCCCGGCACCCTCCTAGTGAATCAGAAACAATACCCCGTATAAGGAAGCTTTAGATGAGGTTGCCTCCTTAATTTGCTGGTACTTGGGAATTGGATGTTTAAGATCTGTGTACAACACTATCATCCTGCCATCCTTAAAACCCGGGAGAATGTAGGTTTGTAGCCTCGTGGTAAGGAGCTGTGCTGCCATCCCAAAGGCACCTGGGTTGGATCCACAAGCTGCTCTGTCTCTTGCATGATTTACTGCCTCTTAAATCCAGCTAGAAAGTCAGCCTTGAGTTAGTTCTGATTCGATGGTACATAACAACAAAAACAGGACCTAAGGAATTAATCAGATGTTGCTAGGCGTTGTTCAACTGTGAATCGCCTTGACTCACAGTGACCCTCTGAACCACCCTCGTGTGCCTGGTTCTCAATATTGGATTTGAAGGCAGTGTCTCACTTGGCGTTAGCCCAAGGCGTTTAAACCAAGGGTTAAAAAAACTCGCCTACAGTTTTTGGTGAGCTATTAGGCAAAGACCTAAGACTCTAAAGATAAAATGTGATACTGCAGTATGTGGACATTTTAATTGCTTTAATTTTAATTTGCTCGGTATGTAAAACCAAAGAAGACTCAGACCAAAACATAAGCCTGGCCCTAAACCACTTAGCCTGTCGTGGGTATCCCAAAAGTAGGTCCAGATATCCCAACAGCAAGTAAAAGACACAGGATTCCAAAATTCTCAAGAGCAAAGAAATGGAGGGAAACAATCAAGTAAGTCCTTTTTCTAGGAAGCAGTGCCCAGGTTTCTAGAAATGACAGGTCTGTCACAGCTAGATCCCAGCCTTTAGGGCCCTGGTAAAACGCCTCTGAGGAGAAGGAAAAGAACTCTTAGAGTCTTCTTTCCTGAATGCGAGTGCCAGCAGGCATTTGACCAGGTGAAGTTCGCACTGATGTTTGTCCTTACTCTAGGGCTGCAGTTGTTGTTTTGTGTCTTCAAGTATAACTCATAGTGACCTTATGGAATAGGAACAGACTTTTCCTTAATTCCCAAACTAGACTCTTCTGACCTCCTCATGCTTGTCTACTCTCCCCAAGACCTAGAAAGCAAAACAGTGGGCCTATCAAGAAACTAATCAATTCAGGTGGAAGGTGAGTCCTAGAACGAATAAAAAATCTTGCTTCTGGAAATGCAGATATTGAATGCCATGTCCACCCTCCCTGAAGGCACTCACTATGCCGAGAAGTTAGCCTTGAATGGGTTCAACAACTGGTAGCTGGCCCCATTTATTTAGGATGGCCACAGTTATAACTAAAAAAAGGTAGCCTTGAATAGATTCAGCAACCGGTAGCTGGCCCCATTTATCTAAGATGATTGATCATAGACATAACCAGAAAAAGCCAGCCTTGAACGGGTTCAACAACTGGTAGCTGGCCCCATTTATTTAAGATGTTGATCATAGACGTAACTAGAAAAAGCCAGCCTTGAACGGGTTCAACAACTGGTAGCTGGACCCCATTTACCTAAGATGGTCATAGAAGGTGCCAACTTTGTGTGAGGAAGAACCTGAACTCCATGCCTCACCTGACAGAGCCTGGAGTCCAGCCCTGGGGTACTGATTTAGGAGAAGATTGGCAAGTGGACTTGCAAGAAATGCCTTGGGTGAATGGAAATATCAAGTACCTTTTGTTTTTGTTGATGCACACACTCAGTTTGGGGCAAAGCTTTTCTTTGTCAAACAGCAGTTTGAGAAATGACTGAAGTACTTCTTCAATGATTCCTTGATTTGGGTTTCCAGTTTCCATTCATAGGGACAATGGAGGAGTTTCAAAGCCCCCAAATAACCCAGGACATAAATAAAACACTGAACCTCAACAGGAAACTACATTCAGCCTGGAGGCAACAATCAACTGGGAAAATGGAAAAGATGAACCTAAGAAAACCTTGACTATGTCAAGATGTTATGACAGAAAAGAGGAGATTCTAAACATTCAACCAAAGTTTAGGGGTCAATAAAGTTCTTTATTAAGCTCATGGGTCAAGAATGACAGCTAATGCTCAAACTGTTGCGATCCCAAGGGGGAGCAAAGATTGGGTTTATATACAGAGACTGGGCATGGGGGGGTTACACAAAGTTCATTGCAGTTGGACACTGTGATTTCTTCACATTTGGGAGTCGTTATTGTTTCTGACTTCTCCTGGGTGTCCAGGCCCCGGTCCAGGTACAGAGGGAGTGGTAACCAAGCTGGGTCAGTTTGTACTAGAACTTAGCAACACATGTTATTGCCAAAGTTATTGAGGCACACTTCTTTATTTAAAAAAGTGTTTTATATTGATTTATTTA